TTAATTGGGCCAGATGGCAATTTTGCTAAGATAGTCTTCCAAACAAGAGCATAAGTACACATTCCTCTGTTTCCAAGGAGGAAAAGCCTGTTGTCATTTTTAATACTTTATGTTACAAAGTGAAAATATAGTTGATTCATGAAGTTTAAATCAAATTCCCTAGAGACACTTGTAGTGTACTTCATTCTGCCTAAATATCTCCATTGGCTGCCAGCTTCCTTTCTATTTAAAAGCATTAATAGGGGCGCCTGGGTGGCGCAGTCGGTTAAGCGTCCGACTTCAGCCAGGTCACGATCTCACGGTCCGTGAGTTCGAGCCCCGCGTCAGGCTCTGGGCTGATGGCTCAGAGCCTGGAGCCTGTTTCCGATTCTGTGTCTCCCTCTCTCTCTGCCCCTCCCCCGTTCATGCTCTGTCTCTCTCTGTCCCAAAAATAAATAAACGTTAAATAAAAGCATTAATAAGACACGACGATAATAAATACATAGTGCTGAATGTGTAAGAATGTCCTTTTAAGAGTAGTGATTATGTGGCGGGTAAAGAGAGAAGGATAAGAACAAAATAAATGAATGAAATTTGAGGTTTTATGATCAGTCTAAGATGGCCAGGTGGCTTCACATGTCACTTGAGAACAAAGACACACCAGATGTTAAATTGAACAATACTAAGATTTGCTGTCATTTGTCTTGTGTGAATTATATATAAAGATAGGTATATATGTCCTTTGTGACCAGAAGAAAAAGAAAATGGTTTTTAGCAGAGGAGGAGAAATTCACATTTTTTTGTTCGCTTGCCTATTTTAATTATGTTTTGCATTTAAATATAGTGTAAATGAAAAATATAACTCCTAGTGTTTTCAACACTAGAAATATTTCAGTTTCTGTCCTTATCTGTGTCTGATTATATCACCAAGACCTTGAATTTGTCTACATATAGGTAATAGGGAGCTGAGGTCCCATGCTGGTTCCAGAGTTATCCTTGCTTCTGGAGATATGGATCAGGGTATTGGACTCACTCATCGGTGTCCACTTTGCCCTTAACCAAATTGAATAGCCCTTTTGACCCTGTTTCCAGGTTAAATGAGGTCTGAGGCAGCTTATACAGAGACAGACTTTTAAAGTTTAATCCTTTTCATTATAAAAACATCCTCTTTTCTGTCCCTAGGAGGGTAAGGACTATATCTTTTTTCCCTTTCCCTTGTATCTTAAGCATCTAGAAAAAAGCCTGGCACAAAGTACGTACTTATGAGGTATTTGTTGAATTGATGTAAATTTTGAACAGTTTTTATTTCAAAGGCCCGAAATTGGTTGAAGAATTTTGTGGCGATGAATGGGAGGGAGTTAACTACTGGCTACCAAAATTGGCCAGTTTTCCCCCCCATGTTTTACTCATTTATTTTTTTTTTCTAGCTTTAGAAAATTTATCATCATTATATATTTATAATATTACACATATAATTGTTATAAATATTCTAGGCTTTTATGTTGTTACTGAAGTGAATTCATGTCATTTAAAAATATCTGAACACAAATGTATCAATGCTGAATTAAAGGTATCATGTCACACAGGTTACAACAGAGCAGGTTTCTGATGGAACTGGGAGGGGAAGATAAGCAGTCTAAGAAAAGACATCATCAGCACACCCCTACTTTTGTGTGTTGATTAAAAACTAATAATTTGTGGGGCACCTGGGTGGCTCAGTTGGTTGAATGTCCAACTTTGGCTCCGGTCATGATCTTGTGGGCTTGTGAGTTCAAGCCCCTCATCAGGATTGCTGCTGTCAGCATGGGAACTCACTTCAGATCCTTTGTCCCCCTCTCTTTCTGCTCCTCCCCCACTC